AGGGTTGTAAGAGACTGAAGAATTTGTTGGGTCACACCTCCACCCGATCTCTGAAGCATCTTTACAACACTCCTGACATGGGTCGTTCTGTCTATGCTGGAAGACTTCTAATGTTGGAGAACACATCCTTCTGTGGAGGAAGCAGCCCATCCCATTTTCCGGCAGCTTCACGGCATGTTTGACAGGAGGTCGCCCCCCCTGGAACTGCTGCGCACTCATCTTAGTTGTCTTATCTGGACAGCAAGGCTAAGCCAGCTTGCTCAGCCCTCCTGGCTCCTCCCCGCCTAGCCTGGCCTCACTAGGTGAATTGCCTCATAAACAGGGTGGCTCTTGCACTTTCACCCCTGCCTGTGTCAACTCATTTGTCAATGACCCCTCACACCATGGGACACCCAGGACTGCATCTAGAGCTCAGACTAATTCTGACCAATCCAAATTCTCTCCCATCCTCGATCAGGGCACTGCACATCTATGACTGCAGCCACGGGTAGAATATGTCCTTTGGGCAGGCACATGGAATCCTCAACTAGTACTGAGCTTCTAGTCAGCAAGGGGCGGGGGGGGGCGGGGGCGCGGACAGCTCAGCCGCTCTTCACCAGCCTGGGCTACTGGATCTTCGGGCGATGAGGTCCCAAGCTGACTGCACATGATTTCACTTCAACAAAGTTTGTGGTGACAAACACTTTACCCAGGCTTGCGTAGTGACTTTTCATCCCTCACCGTGCAAGTGCGGCTCTCTTTTCTTTTGCATATATAGAATGGGTTGGTTGGTTGTTTTTTAAAGTGTTGGTCCAGCAACAGCTAATCAATAGATGTCTAAAGAGGCAAATAGAAAGCCATACTCCTAACAGGCAGAACTGGCATGTAGTCCCACATCCATCAGTTCCTTCACAACGTAACCCCAGGATCTTTCTAATCAATAGTTATGTTTGATTACAGAGTTAAAACTTTAACTCAAGGATGACCAAAGTAGACTGGTAAATGGGAGCTGATGGTATGTTGCTATCCTGAAAATTTCTTGGTTCTAGTTTAAATTACTTATTTTCTTATTCTTTATAGTTTAATATAATGAATTTTATTGTCATGATTTTTATAAAAAATTTTATTTGCTAGTTTTACAATCAAAAAGTGAAGGGAAAATGTCAAGAATAATTTTGGGAAAGTGCTTTAAAGTATAACTTTTGGAGATCAGTGAACAGACCTCCTTTCCCCTTGTTCTGATCTTCTGGATCGATCTGCATAGACGAAGAAGCCTGAGCTATTTGTCTAACAACCCCAGTCTCCTAACTTTACAAATAAGGAAAAATAATGTGCAATGGGGTTAAAATGACTTGCTCAGCTCACAGGGGTAATGGCACTGGCTGGCACATACCTCTCGCGTTCCAGACCACTAACGCAGAATGTCTGTGTTGAAGGAATTCAGAGAGGCAAGAAATTGCTCTAGTGTGGGATCACTGAAGAAAGTAAAACTGAAAAGAAGTCAGCATTTTTAAACCAAATCTTACCTTTTCTCCAAAATAACACATGCTAGTAATAGAAAACTTGGGAAATGCTGCAAAGTACAAGGAGAGGTGCTAGGGCAAATTACTCATGACCTCAGCCCCCGAAAGCAGCGCTGCCGGTGCTTCCCTGGCACATTCTGTGTTGTTTGCGATCATATCAAGAAACGTCATAACCCAAGGGCTATTCCATGTTGCAATGAACTCTCTGTAAATACCATTTTTGCTATAATATTCTCAACTTTCCTCCTATTTTTGAACAATTGGTTAGAAGGGAAAGATTTAAATGGCAAAAGGAAAGCTATCTGGAAGAGGACATGTATTCACCGCAAATTAAAACACCAAGTATTCACTGATGTGTATTTGAGCTTTGAGGCTGTGGGTGATTTTTGGTCATCTTTTATATTTTCCAGCGCTGCAAAAACACTGATGAGAACAGTTACTTTTATTGAGCAGGTATCATGTGCTTTATGCCACAGATACATTTCCTCATTTAGCCCTCCTAATGACCAGCCAAGGTCACTGTTGTAGATCTTCATTTCAAAGACGAGGATGATGCACCCCAGAGAGGGGAAGGTTCTTGCAGAAGGTCAGTGAAAGAGCCAGGAGTTGCTCCCAGGTTTGTCTGAGGAGAAAGCTGCTGTTCTAAACCATCGTACTGCAGATCCCACATTCTTTTTTAATGACTACCTACCATTATGATCATCAGAAAGCTATTTTTAAAAATGAAAATAGTTTGCAAGCAATAGATCATCTCTGGTGTAAGCAGATCACTAACCTGTAGGATATAAAAAAACAATCTACCCAAATCCCAGAACAACTAAGAAAATCATCAATATGTCAAATCCCCGCAGTCCTGTCTAAAATGTTTAAAATTCAAATATGCCTCAGGTTTCTGTGAAATTGATTAAAAATTTTAAAAAGAAGCAGTGTTAATTGCAGTTACGTGAATGAAGTCTGGATTTTGACACGGCATGAAAATTGATTGTGCTAAAAGTAGTCTTCTGTAATTAAATGAAGCTGTGCTGTGCACTTTAATTAGTCAGAACTTATGCTAGGTGGTAGCAGTGGGTCCGGGTGCACCTCATCAACCGAGAGCCTGGCAGCCTGCTCAGCGGTGGCAGGCCCGTTTTCCCCAGCCTTCTTATTTAAGTGCCTACTACTCTAACCTGAAACCGCAGGAAAGGCGACGTGTCCTTTTGTAGCCCAGATGCACACGCTATAACACCCTTCTCATTCTTTCATTTGGAAGACTTGTAATAGCTTTAAATTTTAGGGACTCTCACTGCCTTACAAAGTACTGGAAGTCACTGGCATTTCACATGACCTACTAGGGGCCTTGGGAAAGTCGGCGAACACTGTGAAATGCACTCAACGTATTTGTCTCGGCGTCTGTGAAGGCGACTTGAACCTGCATCTTTGAAACGCTAGTCAAGAGAATGAGTCTCCAAAAATTGTCTCTGAACTCCTCAGTATCTAAATGTTCAGGTTTCACAGTACTTAAAAAGAAAAGCTAACTTATTTTTTTACTCTTGCTTTTAACCTTTATTATTACAAAATCATTGCAAAATCAGAAAACTCAGGAAGTACAGAAAATTGTAAAGAAGCAAGAAAAACATCACCCATCATCCCTTCATTCAAAGAGATTACTCTTAACATGGCAGCATATTTCTTTGTACCCTTTTATCCAGCCTTCGCTCTGTGTACCTGAGACCCTTCGGTTTGCCTAATTTGATATTCTACTAGAAAGACTCATTGAAAGGGAAATTTTGAATTTTATTCCTAATGTTAGCCTGGATACGTGGTCGCCTTCGTCGAGGGGAGGCCCCTGCTGAAGGGACAGGACCCATTTCAGTGGTAGGACTGGGTACACTGGATATAGCAAAGGAAGAGAACAGACCTTGATTTATTTCATAGTCCAGCGTTAATCACATTGGGCTGCCTTTATTCCCTGAACATTTGTATGCAGAAGAAATAAGGTTATATTGATCATTCAAAGCAACTCTGAAGAAAAGTTCCCACCACGGCACACCCGTCACCCGGCCCTGAGGCTGCATTGGAGGGCGAGGCTGGGAGGACTAAAAGGCGAAAGGCAACCTCAAGTCAAGTTGATGGTGTGTCAACAAGTCTCAGGATTGAGAATCACAGACATGATATTTGCAGGTAGAGTATGGATGTCAGTCCCAGACTCAGGTGTTCGAGAAATACTGATTTGTTTTCTCTAAAGAAGATAAAGTGGTTTTCAAGCATCTCTCTTACCACACTGGCAAGGTAAATGTAGTCTCGGACACCTGATCTGGAAAGCCTGTGTGCTGCCAGAAAGCAAGGGCCGAGTCTGCGCCCTCCTCTTTGTCATATTCACTACGAACAGCCGACCAAACCCCACGTGCTGCCTTGAAATTCCATTTTTCGCTATTTCCCTGACACATGAGCATCAGAGCCCACGTCAGCCCCACTCTCCCAGTCACACCCTCTGTCATCCCCTAGGAGGTCCGTCTAATGTGCCAGAGAAGTACCCGACAGCTAAGCACCAGCCTCTTACTCACCTCAGAACCTACCACCTTCTTCTTTCTCCACCCCTAGAAAGTTCCCCTTCCTCTCTTCAGCTCTTTAAGATACTTCCCCCATTTCCTTTCCCCAGGACACCTAAACCACCCTTTTCTGGCTCAGTCAGATAGAAGCCAACGTGGGACAGATCTTGCAGAAAAATTCTGCTTCCATCCAGGACACAAACCTCCTCTGAAGTAAAGAACAAATGGCCAGGTTTCCCTTTTGAAAGATATAAAAGAAGATTGTAAGGAAAACAAGTAATACTTTTCAAACAAAAACCATGCTGTCATAGAAAAGACCTTGAAGAAGACTCAGTCAAGCTCACACCCAAAGCCAGGATCCTTCATTCTTTAGCACCAGGAGGCTAAGTTTGTCATAAGGTGATAAGCGTGGCCTTGGAAGCCAGCCCAGGGATCAGATCCTGTGCGCCCCTCACTACATGACCGTCACCATCTAGGCTCAGTTTTCTCCCAGCACAGCGCTTGCCACAGAGTGGGACCGACTAATATTACTTTCCCCTGTGCACAGCCCACTGCCCCCCCACCCCCACATCACTGCCCAGCCAGCCCCAAAGCTGTGGTTCCACCTGCTCAGATCCCTGGAGCAACTGCAGGAAAGGCCACCCTTCCTCAAATGTGTGTCTGGCACCCCTACTTGAAACTGTTCACGTAATGGACTTTTTAGCTGAATTTGGTATATGTGATCCAGGTCCTTTACATGGTAGCAACGTTCCTGCTGGAGAAAGCACAATTGGCCCAGTTCAGCACCCTGACCACTGAGCACTCTCTGAAAGCTCTGCAGCCATGAGCATCATTGCAGATGGCCGGTGTCAGCATTTCATTCCTCCTCGGGACTCATTCTGATCTATAAGGAAAACTGTCTTTCTGGAAATAAACCAAATGCTATAGCCTGTTCTTAAATCCATCTCGCTTCCTTTTTCCTATCTCTTAGTCAGATACAGAGTTTTGGGATAAAATGCAAGCAGAATGGGAGGAAATGGCCCGGAGGAACTGGATATCTGAGAACCAAGAAGCCCAGAACCAAGTCACCATCTCAGCTAGCGAGAAGGTAACCAATTCTCTTCTTATTCATGTGGATCAATTTTCTCAACCACATTGGATCATATGATTATAAATTAGTCGATAATTATTTTGTGAAAAATCCAAGAATCAAACAGACAATTTAATATCAATAGGACTTAGCAGAAATTCTAGTAAAAGAAAACAATATAATTACCCAATGTATGAAAGCTAGAATGGAATACCCTTCTCTTTAATCACGTAAATACGGATGTTTGGCAGCTGGCCAGAGCTTGGATCCTGACTGCTGGCAAGTTACCTGAATAAGTGACCTTGAGGGTGGGTTGGAGAAAGACCCAGGCTAACCCCATGATGCCTTTTGTCAGTCAGACAGGTGAGCCATGTCGATGAGCTGACAGAGGTGAGATCAGTGGGCAGGGGAGTGAGGCAGGGCTTAGGGCTGTATTTCGCAGGTGGTCACTAGACAGCCGGCGCAGAAACGCGGCGGCAAAGAGAGCCTTCCCACAGCCAGGCCGAGTCCCAAGAGGATCCCTCAGAACTATTTCCTTGACAGGCGCGCTAGCCAATGTGAGTGCCGCGGACGACCAGCCAAAGTACCCATAAAGTCCCAGTTGCCCGTGGATTTATGCTTTTAAAAACAGTTGAGGGACAAAATTACCTTGAGAAATAAGTTTGAATGACTTGAAAGATAAGAAAAGATGTGGATTTTCTACACTGGGGAGGGGGTATGATATATAGTTTATGCTTACATTATGGTTTTTGTGGAGGAACTATCAATAACATTTAGTTCTGGATCATTTAATCTACATAGTCATCAAAATGTCTTTCTCTTCCTAATAATATTCCGTGTCCCTCAGTAGGCCAGAACAACCATTTCCTTAAAAATAACTGTCTTTAAAAAGGAAAAAAGAACTAGGTAAGAAGAAAGAACATGGATGGAGATCACCAGGCTCCAGACTCATCCTTGGCCTGAGGCCTGACTAGGGCCCTGAGCTCCTCACTCCCAGGTCCCCGTACCCGCACACCACTGCATGAGCTCAGTGGCTTTTGATAAGGGCTTTTGTCTTTTTTATTATTATTATTTTATTATTGTTCAATTTCAGTTTGCATTTTCTCCCCACCCCTAAAATGGCCATACTACCCAAAGTGATTTATAGATTCAATGCAATCCCTATTAAAGTACCCATGACATATTTCACAGATACGGAACAAACATATTCAGAAATATGCCTTTTGTCTTTCTGAAGGTCTCCGTTGGATCTATTTTAAAACCTAAGTAGCATCCTCAACAGACTAGCTTAATTGTATCTATCAAATTAGAAAGCTTTTATGATAATCTGTGCTACCTCATGTTGCAAAAAATTATGTCTCTCAGGTATTTCTGATGAGAGTTTAAAGTGGTACATACTTTCTCAATAGCAATTCAACCTCACTTATCAAGGGCCTCACAATAGATCAGAGCTTTTAGCCTAACAAACCCCTCCAGAAGTCAAAGGTAATAATCAATGCAGACAAAGATTTGAGCGTGAGGCTTTCACTATATCTTTATCTGTGAACACACAAAAAAACAAAAGTAATCTAAAAGTCCATCGATACAGGTCTGATTAAGTAAATTTTAATAGAAATAATTATAATAACTAAAACTAAATGAGGCTTAAGCTACAAAACTGCCCATGTAGTATAAGCCTATTTGTTTAATTTATATAGTCATAGAAAAATACTAGGAGATTATTTGTACATTCTGCATTTTTAAAATTTTTACAATTAAAAAATCTATAAATTTAAAACACACATTCTCAGTGGGCGATGCAGCCACCAGTGGGGCAAACACCAGTTTAAAGAATGGGAAGGCCAACAGTGTCCTAGCTATTCCAACGCTTTGTAGCCCCTTGAGGGCCACAGCCCGTAAGCGGATGTGCAGAGCATCGTGGTAACACTTCAGGACGCAGGGGGCAGCACAGAGCCAAAGTATGTGCAAAACCTCCATATCTTTAAAATCTTGGGTGGGGGCTACAGGGAGTGTCTGAAACAAAGTGAACAAACGAAATATCAGAAAGACAACAAACTCCAAAATATTAGCAGTGATCATATTTAAGTTGTGCCATTATGGGCAACTTTTTGTTTCTTTATATATTATTCAATAACAAAATCTAAAATTCATACAGTGAGAATGTATATCCATAATAAGGGAAAAACAGTAACTGAAGTGTTTTTTAATGTTGACACTATTACAGATGGCCCCCATTTCCCTCCCCTTTGCCCTCCTCCACCCAACCCCCAGCCCCCGGCCATTGAAATTTAAGTGGTTAATTTTACATTATGTATATAAAATAAAATCTCACCATAATAAAAACATTTATTAAAAATTTAAAAAGAAATTTAATGGCAATTAAATTAATCTATTAATTTAAATAAATTAAGTAATTTAATTAAAGTTCCAAAGGAACTGACTGTGAGAATAAACCAGTGGACCTGTGCTGGCCCTTCTGTGTTGCAGGGCTACTACTTCCACACCGAGAACCCCTTCAAGGACTGGCCTGGCGCGTTTGAAGAAGGTTTGAAAAGGCTGAAGGAAGGGGACCTCCCAGTCACCATCCTGTTCATGGAGGCAGCCATTCTTCAGGACCCCGGGGATGCAGAGGTGTCGTTTCCCCTTCATCCTGCCAGGCTCAGAGTGTGGCTGTGTGTGCTAATGAGGGACAGAGGGGTTCTCAGAGCTCTGCTGAGGGGCATTTTCATCCAGCAATGGTTCTCAAAGCAGTTACCCTGGGTTAGAGTGGTATATAGCCTGTCGTCTAACCAAATCTGCAGTATCTGTCTATGGTGCCCCACAACTGGAGGGTGGGCACAGGGAATGGAAAGCTAAAACGGCCCACCTGGAAGTGCAGCGGCAGTTTGCAGGGGGCAGTGTGCGGTCTCGCCTGGGTCCAGAGCCACCCCGTATGTCGCCACCGATTTATTCAGTCCACATTTATTGAACACATATGACGTCCCAGGACTTGGGCCACACGTGGGCTCAGCACACTGAAGAGCTGGAAAATGGAACCGAGGAAAAGGCACATTTAGTGGTCCGTGTGGAGGGACAAGTAAATCAATCGGTGCAGTGGAATACACGCAAGTGCACAAGGGGCTAGGACAGCAGAGAGCGAGACTCCTGACGCAGCCTTCCCCTGCAAGGGGGTCCAAAGCTGAGTGTTCCAGGACAGAGGGTTAACCAAAGACAGCAGGGGAGCTGAGAGGGACCATCCCCGGTGGGCAGAGGGACCTGAAACACTGGGTCTGTCAAAGACGGAGGGGAGAGCAGCAGGAGTGCAGGTGAGAGGAGGCAGGCAAGCATTCGAACTTCATGCTGAAACCAGGAAAGAGCATGTGATAAAAACCTCTTTCTCTGAGGTGTGAAGGGTGATTGCAAACAAGTCTGGGACCCACCCAAGAGACTTCTGTACCCCAACCTTGGTCCACTACACTTCCAAATCTGTGAAAGCCTGTCATAAGATAGTGGGGGCTCTGAAGTCTTCTGTAGTCTGTCATTTCCAGAAAACGTAAGGGCTATTCCGAGGGGAGTTACAGAAATTTTAGGAAGGGACATGTGTGGTGCTGAGAAGGCAGTAAAAAATAGTGTTTCCACTTCCAGTCTGCTGTCCTGGGCGGGTTTTCTCGATTGCTGGTTCACCCACCAGGAGCCATGTGATCTGGAACAAGTCATTTAAAAGCCCTTGACTTCCGTTCCCTTGTGTGTAAAGTGGAAATCACAATTATAATAACTTTCTCATTGGGTTTTTTACGGATTAAATTAGTTCATACAAATAAAGTGCTCAGTTCAGTGTCTGGCACATCAATACTTAGGCTTTATTACTACTATTGGTTAGTTTGTGATGAAAGAACAAGTAAACTGATCACTAAAGCCACTGGTATCTTGTTAGTGGAAACATTGATAATGAAATTGAACTAAGAGCTGGAGTTCTGAGCCAAAATATTAGAATTTTTAAAAAGATACTTGCATCACTGTAGAAGAGGAAATCATTGCATTAACAGAAACATACAGGCCCCCCCCACACACACACGCACAAATAATAATGTCATTTTACATTTCTGGACGCTGTGTGTTTTCGCATGTATTATATCATTCAACACAACAACTCTGGGAGGTTTTAAAAAAGCATATGTTATTACCCCAGATTCATAAATAAGGAAATTTGGATACTTGGTTACTAATGGATCCCAGACCAGGACCCAGGGCTTCTGAATCTGCGTGGACCCCAGTGCTGAGATGATGGATGGCCCGTGGGCAGGGAAAGTGATGTGACGCCCAGAGCCCGGAAAGGGGCTCTCAGAGAAAGGCTGCTTCTCCAGTCTTTTCTTAAGAAGCATTCTATGTACAGAAGGTGAAATAAAAATAGGGGCTGCTGTGTGTACATTTGAAAGATTTGAAAGAATCACTGATACTGTAGGGAGAAATAATTAGTACTTTCATGAGTTTTTATGGACTGTGTAATAATTACCCATAAGGGAAAAAACTGATACAATTTTATAGCACTTTAATATGACTCTGTATGTTTTTATACAGTTTGTTTTTAAAAAAAGTGGGAAAGTTATGCACTGCCTGAACTTTTTTGTTTATTTTTAAAATGTTTTTATTTATTTTATTTTTTTTTAGCAAGAAGGGAGGGGAGGGAGAAAGAGAAAGAAAAACATCAATGTGTGGTTGCCTCTTGTATGTCCCCCACTGGGGACCTGGCCCACAACCCAGGCCTGTGCCTGACTGGGAATCAAACCAGCAACCCTTTGATTTGCAGGTTGGTGCTCAATCCACTGAGCCACACCAGCTGGGGCTGCCCAAACTTTTTTAAATCCCTAAAACTTGGATGCACCCTCACCCCCAGCAAATCTAAGGAAATGTGTACAATGAGAGGTGTTTTTGACATGCATTGCTCTTATAATCATGTGAGAATTATTGTTCTAATAAGCACACACATAGCAATTTGTTATATTTTAAAAATGTCATTCTAGATATGAAAAACAGTATCTGCTTGAAGATATTCTTCATATATTTACAATAGCAAAAGATTGCAAACAACCCCAGAACAATAAGGGAATTGGTTGAGTAAATAATGCAATGTTTATTCAACAAAATTTAAATTAAAAATTATAAGTAGGAAAATTTTGTAAAAACACAAAAAAGTGCTTAGGACACAATATAGAGTGTAAGTTGTAGACTTTAAAATTATATACATTATATTGCATTTCATGTTTTGTGTGTTTTAACAGTGATTATACAGGGTGGGGCAATAGTAGGTTTACAGTTGTTCATATGGAAAATAATACAATTAGTAGTAACACAAGAATAAACTCTGTATATCACATGCTCGGAACGGTAACCCTACTTTTGCCCCACCCTCTGTTAGAGCTGCACACACGTCCTAAGGGGTTTTGTCTGGTTTTCCTTAGGTCCCAAATTTCCTGTTGCATCTTTAATAACTGCTTGCCTCTCACTTATACAAGCTGATTTTATTTTGTGCATCTGGGGATTTCTTATTATAAACTTTAGACTATTTAACTACATTTCTGGGCTATTTTTATACCTTTTTTCCTCACAAATGCATACTTCCATCTTTTGGTTTTAAGATACCTAATAGCTCAGAAACTCAGAGGTTTCCACGGGTCACAGGAGACAATAAATACTCAGAGTCTGTAAATTAAGACAGAGGATCTTGACCCAGATGTCACAAGAGATTTTGAATGAGGAAATGAATGTAATATTTTTTTCCTTACACAAGACTCTCGCATCTGAGACAGGCTGCTCTGCATAGAGGGATCTGCTGTAGGTAAACACACCCACTACTGCACAGGAGTGATTCTGCTTCCTCTCGCGATATTGACATCAGTTGTTTTTTGTAGGCATGGCAATTCCTCGGGATAACCCAGGCGGAGAATGAGAATGAGCAAGCAGCTATTGTCGCCCTCCAGAGGTACATGAAGCTAAGTGCAAAATCACGGGACTGGTGGACACTTGCTAATGGACTGCCTATTGTTTGAGATTTGTCTTGTGACCTTTAAATACATTGCAAAGAATTTGGCCAGAATAAGTGCTGAGATGCCACATATGACTTACACTTAGCTCTGAAAATAAGAACTTACAAAGACATGATGTCCCTAAACCACAATGTTTGGCCGAAATCAACTGACTTTCATTCGCACAGAAGAGTCTGTGTTAAAAAGCAATCATGAAATACTCATTCAATAAATAGGTTCTCTTAAGTTCCTATCTGAAACATCTGAAAGTTTACTTCAGAAAAAATATATACTCAAAATTATTTCAGTGCAATTTTAGCTCCTGGGTCTACAGAGCCTCTCCTGAGACAGTTTCAGCAACCTGCACGTGTAACCCCTGAGCCCCTGAAGAAAGCTCTAGACTACTTTGGGTGGGTGTGGCATCACACCAGACTTGATTAGAGCCCCTAGTTAAACCCTGATGTGCCGCCGGAGGGGTGGGGGGGGACAGACCCTACCAAACAGGCTTCCACTTTCTCTACTATTTCTTATGTATCAAACCTCTTCCTAAAGCGCTGATGTCGGTGCCACGTAGGACTTGCTGTGCAGTCTTATCCAGGGGCTACCAGCATGGCCATCACCTGGGAGTTTATGAGGCCTGCACAGCCTTGGGCCCACCCAGGCCCTCTCCATCAGGATCTGCACTGAGCAGATCCTGGCTGATTCCCATGCACATCAACGCCTGAAAAGCCCTTGCTAGAGGTCAGGGGAGTAGCATAAGGAAGAGAGCAGCTGTAGCCCCGGCTCCTGTAAACCCACATCAACAGCCTGGAAACACAGGATCTTCCTCTCCTTTACAAAAGATGTTTAATCTTTCATCTCTGGTTGTCCACATTTAATTCAAGTCGGTTTGCTTTGCAAATAAGGTGCACTTAATATAGTGGCAGTAGAGCACCATTGAAATGATACCCCTACTTCTCATTAGATTAGCTACTGATAAATTACATGCAAGGATTAGCCACATTTTCTATAGTTTTAAAATCATTTATTAAAATGACCAAACCTAACTCGCATCAGGATGAGTTTTAACTTTCTTAAAAATATGCTTAGGTCCCTCGATGGACCTGGAGAGCTTTATGCTCAGTGAAATAAACCAGTCAGAGAAAGACAAATACAGTATGATTTCACTTGTGTGTGGAATCTAATGAACAAAACAAACAAGCACAATTGAAACAGACTCATAGATACAGAGAACAGACTGACGACTGCCAGAGGGGAGGGGGTCTGGGGGTGCGGGGAGAAAGGTGAAGGGATTAGGCTTGCACAGCAGTGTGGTGATTACCAGAGGGAAAGGGGGTGGGGAAGGCAGAAGAGGATATGGGGGGACACATGGTGAGGAAGGAGACTTGACTTGGGGTGGTGAACACACAAAAATACACAGATGCTGTATTGTAGAATCATACACCTGAAACTTATATAAATTTATTAACCCATGTCACCCCAATAAATTCAATAAAAAAGAAAAAATATATGCCTAGGTCCCGATTTGCACGTAGATAATAAATGTGATATTCTTCAGGGGCTTAACATAAACTTAGCAATGCTTTTGTACCAGTTAATTTATAAAACCCCCAAATTTTCTAAAGGACTATTCAGACTGTCTTCAAAACAAATCTGAAGTTGGCTCCCCCCCTTTCTTTCAGGTGCTTAGAATTGCAGCCCAATAACTTGAAAGCTCTGATGGCTTTGGCTGTGAGTTACACTAACACCGGCCATCAGCAGGATGCCTGCGAAGCTCTAAAGAATTGGATTAAGCAAAATCCAAAGTACAAATACCTTGTGAAGAGCAAGAAGGGATCTCCAGGCCTCACGCGGAGGATGTCTAAGTCTCCAGTTGATAGGTATCTTTCTCATTAATTACAATCACCATAATGGTAATTAAGGAACCTCAGGCCCCCGCCACCACCCATTCCAGGTGGCTTGTGGGGAAGCGCTCTGCCAGAGGGGCAGCGCTGGTCTAAAAGGTTGAGCCGAAATCGGAGACAAGGTTGGGACACCTGGTTCACACCGCAGGCACTCACAGACATTTATCTGAGTGCCATACTTTAAAGCCAAACGCTTTGGGCATACAATTAACCCAAAATAAATTATAGTAAGTAGCAATGTGCCAAGTGTTATAAAGCCTGAGAATTAGGTATGAGGAAAAATGGAAGTCCGTTCTTCTGGAATTTTGTTTCTATCAGCAACTAATCACGGTATGTTCAATTCTTCCTCACGGAGGCCTGGGGACCCGCAGCCCCAGGGTGCTCTGCACTGGCACTCGGAGGGCTGGCGGAACTCTCCTTACCTAGCACTGTTTGTGCACGACACCATACTTCATAACCACCAGCAGCTGTTTTTACCATGCAGTAGTCATCGTCTGCTCATTACGCTATGATATTTTAAGCAAGATTTTTCTGTTCTGTAATGTTTTCTTGGAACAGAGAACATAATAGTAAATCATGTATGTTCATACTATTTGGATTACAAATCTAATATTTCCCCTGGTAGCTCTGTTCTGGAAGGAGTGAAGGAATTATATCTGGAAGCTGCCCACCAAAATGGAGATATGATCGACCCAGACCTGCAGACAGGTCTGGGGGTGCTGTTCCACCTGAGTGGGGAATTTAATAGAGCAATTGATGCATTTAATGCTGCCTTAACCGTTCGACCTGAGGTAAGTACACAGCAAGAAACCGTAAGGTTCTGTTTTAAAAAATTTTTTTTTCACAGGATGTACTTTGTACATTTTTGCTACATTTTATTTCCCTGCTTCCAATGGTTTGAAGTGATCAGTACTAATGAGATGCTACTGTGGCTGTTAACACTTAAGTACCTAAAATAGAAACGTTAACTGCCTGACAGCATCAAATGGTCCTGCTCCCTGACGAATGAGAGTCATTTCATAAAGCAGCCATAAATATTTCTGAGTCATTCGCCACGTCATGGTCCCTGTCTGTGAGCACTGGGTTAATTTTTAGCCATCATCTTTCTTCTGTGGGGAATCTGAGAGTATTCCATCACTGTGGTTTGTGCTGGTTGTTAGAGCACTCCCCTTTCCTCACCAGGACTATTCATTATGGAACCGTCTGGGGGCCACCTTGGCCAATGGAGACCGCAGCGAGGAAGCCGTGGAGGCCTACACGCGTGCGCTGGAGATCCAGCCCGGCTTCATCCGCTCCAGATACAATCTGGGCATAAGCTGCATCAACCTGGGCGCCTACAGGTGAAGTACGGCCGCAAGCGGGGGGCCAAGAGCCCCACTCAGGGCTGAGATTGAACAACCTGAAAGGTTGTTTGCCTCTGAAAAATGTCTGCTTTGTAGGAGGAACCCTCCTCCTCCTATTAAGGTTAAGCTTGGAAACTTGCAACCCTGAGGCCTGTTGAAGCAGGAATGATTGGCTTTAGTGCTTCTCCATCTGTACCGAGCATCCTGGGAAATGCATATTCCCAGGCCTCTCCTGTAGATGTTCATTCAGTCACCTGCGTTGGGACAAGTTAGCTGGTCTTTTAACACCCCACCAAGAGCAACTCTTTGGGAAACTTGAATAGTCCAGACCATCTTCCAGGGAAGGAAAGGAGAACCTGGGCGTGGGGGCACAGGAGAACCCAGCAACATGACTTAAGAAGAGTCCAGGGCCAGTTTCTGGCAAAGCACGACCAAGAATCCGGGTTCTCTAAATCTAATTTACTAATAAAGGGAGCAATAAAAAAATTCTTAAGGGAAGTAGTTTTATTTATTTTTTTAACAAGACAGAAATCTTTTTTTTTAAAGATTTTATTTATTTTTAGAGAGGGAAGGGAGGGAGATAGAGAGAGAGAGACAGAGAAACTTCAATGTGCGGTTGCAGGGGGTTATGGTCTGCAACCCAGGCATGTACCCTGGCTGGGAATCGAACCTAGGACACTTTGGTTCCCAGCCTGCTCTCAATCCACTGAGCTACACCAGCCAGGGTGGGAAATAGTTTTAAATGGTGGGTTTATGGTATACAATCTCGCTCTTCTCTCAAGATTCCTCACTGTCACTTGGGTCCATGTTCTCTCGTATATTTTCCCCGTCAGTGGGTCCACGGGGACCACAGATGACCTTTGGTTCTCTTGTGTAATGAAAGTATGACTATTTTTCTTCATTCTTCTTTCTTTTTTTTTTATTTTCTAAGTAAACAGGCATTGCTTTCATAACTGGGAGAAAGAGAACTAAATGTTGGTTTTAAACCCCACCAGAAAAAATGTCAAACCCTTTCTCATTCTCAGGAAGAGCCAAACTTTTAGAATTAGACATGCTTGGGTTCAAATCATACATAGTTCTGCCATTTATTGCTTTATGACACTGAGCACACAACTTTGAGCCTCAGTTTCTTCACCTGCTTAAAAAAAGCAGGCGTTCATAATGTTGATCTCGCTGGATTATTGTGCAGTTTAAGTGTAATTGCCTGGCACAGAGCAGATGCTCGATGCCGAGCAGGAGTTAGCGTGTGATTATCACTGCCATCAGCATCGGCATCATTATCCCTATTATTTGGATGAGTCATCAGAGGGCTACATAACTGAATTGCATTCTTTTGACATCTGAAGAATTGCTGTCTCTGAACTGCATTAAGACATCATGCCTTTGGCAAACAAATATTGAGGCTTTAGAAACTAGTTGCTTCATTTATAACAAAGGGATCTTAGAAAGAACATTCATTAGTCACTGGATTACACTCTGTCCCCCAGAAGGATCTTGCTCTGGTCACAGCCAGGAGAAGTGAGTGGCCCGTGAGCAGCTGGTCTGTTTTGTGTTATGAACAACGTGGTGGAGCGGGCCACTTGCTGAGGCGCTCATTTGCATCAGCTGTGCAGAGGGCTGGAGGGGACCGGTCTCCAAGGCCTGACAGGGTCTCTTTTGTATGTTAACTTCATTCCTGACTCCGTCTGATTTCCCCAACCCAATTTTATCTTTACCCCTTTATGCACTTATGTTTTATGAAACACCTTAGGTCTTTTTTTTTTTTTGGAACAAGGAGAGATGTCAGTACATACATACATACATATGGGCATATTGAATTCAATTAAAGGAGGCTTTTATAAAACTTCTGGATGAGTTATTTTCTTAATTGTAACTTCTTAGTGTAGAAAACATACTTGAAGGGCCAATAAAATACTTTCTTGGCATTCGCAGATATAAGCCTCAGCAGGGCAACTATATACCGGAGGCCGTGAAGGTCCCTGACAGGTGGGAACGTTTTATCCTCAAGCAGACAGTATCCTGTACAAAAGCAAGATGATGTTAGGGTTGTTGCATAAAATGCAAATGCCTGATTAAATCTGAATTTCATATAAACAGTGACTAATTTTTTAGGGTAAGTATTTTCCAAGTATTGCATGGGGCATACTTATCCTGAAAATCGTTTGTTTTTTATCTTAAACTCAAATGTGTCTGTGCATCCTGTATTCTTTGTGACTAAATCTGTCCATCTGGATCAAATGGCAACTTTGGAACATCTCAGCTAAGCTTGGTGGGTCTTAAACTGTCATGCTGGATATGGGAAATCTGGTGAAGTGATAAACATCTTGCATTTTTTCCTGACAAAAAGAGGCCAAGTGAGACCTAAACCTTAAATGAATTCTGAAAATAAGTTTGACTTGAGGTGTAAACATGTGCATATGAATAACAACCCTCAATAGAAATGTAACTCAGAAGAGAGCCAGGAGCTGGTACAAACACTTCGGTACCCACCGAAGTCTGGGACCTCTCACCCAAGAGCTGCAGGCAACTGTGTATGAGCTGTAACACTCACTGTGTGTCATCTGCACTTTTCATAAAGCATCAAAGCCAAGCCCTGCCCTAGTACTGTATACAGTTGAAATAAGGAGAGAACATTATTGGCCCGAAACTTGGGTATAGCTGAAAACGCTACCCTTCTGTCAGTCGGAGCTCCAGGGTGGAGCTTAGGCCAATGAGTCTTAATCATTTCAAAAGTGTGGGCCTCTTCTTAATGAAAAAAGAAATCTCAACCTCCTTGACAGTAATACAGAGTGGGGCAAATGCAGGTTTACAGTTGTTTCTATGGGAAATAATTGAAAAATTAATAATTCAATAATAAACAAAAATAATACAAGAATAAACTCTGTTTCGTGTAGTCACGGCTGTAAACCTAGGGATTCCAGCCCCGGGGCTCTGATAACAAACTCAGCCGAACCCGGCTGCGTTTCCTATTTCTATCGCCAATAGGAAAAGTTAGGCCACTTACTTTCTGAGAGAGGCCAGATGCTTCCTTTCAACCCTAGTTATATAAACCACATCTGCACACGGATTACATCTTCAAATCATTCCTGCAGTAGGGGAAAAGTGAATGCATTAAAGAGTTAGCAACGGTTTGGCCATTATTCTTCCTCTTCCACATGACATTCCTAAAATAAAAATTGCTTTGCTCTCTTCTTTCTGATTTCACTACATTTAACAATGACTCTTCATGAAAGAATCACGACAGAGTCGGAAAGTTGCTCATCTGATGATCCAAGACACCACAGAAAGTTGGTTTCGGGTTTTAGACTAAAATAACTTCATCCATTATTATTGTCTTGTTTGCTCATTCTGAAACCTGTCATATGCTTAAGTGTCTCTTTTTCTACCCTCTTAGAGAAGCAGTCAGCAATTTTCTCACTGCCCTCAGTCTGCAGAGGAAGAGCCGGAATCAACAGCAAGTTCCCCACCCTGCCATCTCCGGGAACATCTGGGCTGCCCTCCGAATCGCACTTTCTCTGATGGACCAGCCAGAACTCTTCCAGGCGGCTAATCTCGGCGACCTGGATGTCCTCCTGAGAGCTTTCAACTTGGATCCTTGAGGGAAAAGAAAAATAATAATAATAACCCTTTGTCTGTATACATCATTGAGAAATGCAAACCTGTTTTATTTTTAATTCCAAAAAGGTGAAACCAGATGTTTGAAATGCCGTGGTGATAAAACCCAAGGGAATTCCTACAGACAATGCCCAGATCTGTTCAGATCCAAAAGCACAACATGTTGTCTTAGAGAGTCAAGGTCAGGCTCGAAAGAAGAATGAAGAGGCTCAAGACAAACTGAGATTAAGTAACTATGTGAATACCTTTTTCACAAACTGCAAGCTTATCACAAAACATCTTTGGGTTTTTGTCCCCACTTGTGGCTGATGACACATCTAAGGAGCTTACTCGTGGGACACCTGGAGAAAGCACTGCCTCAGATCAGGGAATTCTGACTATTTCTGAACTGTCCTCTGAAATTCCCCCTTTTAGAAAGACTGAACATAGTTTGGGCCGAGGTGCATGCACAAATATTAACTCAACTAAGGAGAGGCATTGCTTAAATCTATTCCAATGTTAACTTCTACTGTAGCTTTTGGTTCCAGAGAAGGAGCTTTGCTGTCAAAAGCAGTTTTGCACTAGAAATTTTTGCTGTTCCCAATCAAAACTTTTTTGGGACTGTATATATGCACTTTAATATCTTATTTATGCCTTGCTGGAGTTTTGTTTGGTTGCTCCAATTTTTAACTTGGGGGTAAAAGATTTGAGAACTCAGCCTTGTTAGATCAATGGACCAAATAAAAATTCCTGAAAATAGTTTTTTCATAGGGTAGGGTTTTGAAGGAGTGTTTTTCTTAAAGCAGGTATGACATAGGGTATAAATATGCAAACACAGATCTCATTCACTTGTTGTCTGGGACTGTGTGAACTTAAACAGGAGATAAGATACTGTCCCTTCATGCATTGTCTGCAGGGCAAAAGTGTGATGATATCATGATTTCTACTGAGTTAACATTAACTTGCTTAAATATCATATTTTCCTCGCTCACTAACTGTCCTGCACACTGATATTCCTTTTAAATTGTTAACATTTTAAATAGTATTTCTTAAGAGTGATAAATACATTTTTCCTAACAATTGTGTTTTTTTAGTTCTATAATAATCTGCATTGCTCACCCTTTTGCATTCTAAGTGAGAAAGACCAGTATTTCCAGCTGCATCTCACTGGATGGCAGAGGTGTCCTAGGAAAGATGCGTGCCCCTCCTGAACATTTATCAAGTACCAGGGCTTCCTGTTGGCAGTGGTGTTTATTTCATTGATTACATTCCACTCGGTTCTTCAGAGTGTTTTGTGCTTGTTGGGGGCTTAGTGATCTTTTGGACAGACATCACTTTTTAACGGATTAAAAAGGTTGTTTGTAAAATGCTAACCACAATATAGTTTCACCAATACCCAGTTCTGGTCATTTCTCCCAGTCAGTTGTCTCATTCTTCTTCAGTTTGTCTCCCTCCTTCCTCCAAGCCTTCCCCAAGGCACTCCAATCCCAGCTTTCTTCACGTTCTTTGGTCAGTAATAGCTGGTTATACTAATGACTATAGCTACCCAACAAAACAGCATTCACATCAAGACAGTTCAGTTGAGGGGGAGTGAGTTTCTCCTTGTATGGGGGATGCACACCCACACTGAACCGGAGGTGCAGGTGGAACTTGTCTCCTCTGTTCCATTCGAGATTCTTGGCATAGGGGAGGGGTCTCAGGTGAACATGAAACCACAAATCCTTGAGGCTTACACATATAGGGTGTCCAACCCGTGGTCCACAGGCCACATGTGGCCCAGGATGGCTATGAATGTGGCCCAACACAAAATCGTAAATTTACTTAAAACATTGTGAGATGTTTTTGTTTTCATTACTGTTTGTGTATTTAATGTGTGGCCCAAGACAACTCTTCTCCTTCCTATGTGGCCCAGAGATGCCACAAGGTTGGACCTCCGCTCCAGAGTAGAGGGCGCTGAGGCAGAAGCTTGGACACTCTCGGTGGAAGCTCACTTGGGCCGGGGCGCCTCCAGCTGGATGGACATCAGGAGGCAGGGGCCGTAAGGCGCTCACTGGTGGGCAGCGGTGACTCCGCAGTCACCGCCTGCTTCCCTAGAGCTCAGCAATATTTGCAAGAACGGTATTCTTGACAATTTTAGAATCCTAGAAACTTGGCGGAGGAAGGACTCGGGACCAGCCTCCAACCCGTGGTAGCTGCCTGCTTGAGCATCCCTGATGGAATAGCACCCCTTCTTGGCATGCCGCTTCCTCCTCCCCATCTCTGTGCATTCGGCTGGCCAGCTGACTCACATCCAATACAAAGCAACTTTCACAAATGCTCTGTTTGTGACAGCGTTCTATACTTTCAATGGTAACTGAATTCGCACTAATAATTATAGGCTGCTTTCTTAGCTCTGCAGCCACTGTGTACATGAGATCAGTAACAATTTAACATCTGACAGTGGGGTGGATGTGCAGTACTTTGATGTAACTTGATGGTTGCCAAGTGGTGACAGATTCAGGGGCCCATTTTAATTTGCTCTTTGAATACAAAGCAACATCAAACTCCAAGGAGTTGTTTTAGGGGAGAGTAAACAATTTTCTGTTCTCATCATAATTTGGTAATTTTCAGAGCATTTGAGAGGACTTTCTCCAATATATCTAGTGCTCATCAGAACTAGGATTTCCATAAGCTGTTTCCTGTTAAGAAGTACAGAATCATTGCCCAGGACATTTTTCAATGATATTTTTAATAAAATTAAGTTAAAAGAGTTACTAAAAAGCAAATCAGAGCACCACCCAAAATTAAGTAGCTAAATTTTAGAAGTCTTTATTATGTACATCTTTTTTTTTAAGTGTATACACATTTTTTAAGGCAAAACTTTTTCGGTATCTTATTGTCATGGCATAAAATTGTCATTTATATTACTCTTTTCACTTGAAAGAGTAGAATGACCTTGGTTCCCTCTGAGGCACTCTGGGAAGGCTTTGAGTTTCTTTTTTCTTTTATTATTCAGTAACAGCCGAGGATCTCCTAGAGGATAATACCATTTTACAAGAGTGGCCACCCAGTTGCATAGATGTGACTTTCAAGGACTGATTTCACCAGCTGACTGAATGAAAATGCAGAGAAGGCCAGTGATCATTGCTGAATTCCAGATACATTATATCTGTGTCTGGTGGGCTATCTGTGCTGCTACACCTTGATGTGAGGAGGAGTTGGAGGAATGGAGAAGAGGGGGGAAGGAGCAAAGCGCTTACTAACTGGGCCATTCATTGAGTCATCATTCCCTTTGCTTTCTCCCAAGATCACTCCCTGTGACTTCTTGAAAGAAAGGCAGCTCTTGTCCACAAAGACACTTCCATAGAAAACTGTGAGCTGTGCTTTCTCAACCAGAGTTTCAACTAAAACAACAAATTAATGATATTGAACTATGTTGGAATGTCCAGGACACACTCACTTTCACAGGTTTATGCCATTTCTTCATTCTTTTTCTTTAAAGAGAGCTAGAGTATTGAATCTTGTGTCCATGTTTAGATACTCCTACTAGATAAATTTTTCGAATATATTCTTGCTACACAAGCAAAACTTAAACACAATTGTCCTAGTGCCACTTGTAACAGGAGCTCCCCAACTGTTTACCATAAACTTTGGGAGCTCCTTGGGAATATAAAAAGCAAAGTGGGCTTTTTGTGTCCTTTCTCCATTTGTCCCTGAATCAGTTCCACAGCAGTGGGCTGTACTTTCACTGGTTGTTGCTGTTCTCTTCTGCCTTGAAATGCTTCTGAAAGCATTCTAGAAACAGGGTATTCTGAAGGCTTAAATCGAGTGCCATCTTTTTCAGACCTCCTATTATAGAAATTATTGCACATATGTAATTTAATGCACATACATCATTTTAACTTTGTAAAATAATTTCAAGTTCACTCCCTCTCTGGATTTTGCTACACAGTTTCTCTATCTTCTCAGTATTTACAGAACTGGTTGAACTATAAACTGTTTTGAATTAAGAAGTAGATACATATTTTTTTTGAAGAGTGTTGGGAGATGAACTCTGGCATAAGTTTTGTAAAAAGGGAATTTTGAAAAAATAAAACATTTAACCTCAGGTACAAAAATAATGCATGCATTAGTACTTGCAAATCTGCCTACTTAAATTATTAACCAAAGCATGCAATATAACTTTACTGAATGTAAATTTACCCAGAGCATGATTAAGTTTCATAGGTTAGCTTATTCTCCCTTGCTTCTGAACAAGGAAGCATTTTCATGACCTTTGTGTTACGGTGTTTGTATTTGTTTTTAATATCCTGTCCTTGAGATTGTTTACAGGCCCTCACACCGAACTGGGCAGATATTCATGTGTCTGTTTGAGCAGAGTTGCGGCCAGTGCCAAACTAACCCTCTGAGGAATCCAGGTACTTGGACATCCAAATGATTTTAACAACCAGTAAAGGCAAACAGATGTAAAACTTAAGCAAAATCCATGTTATCTGAAAGCTCCTAAACACAATCGTGTTGATGGCTTCAGCTCAGCTTTGGGTTCTAAATGCTGAATAGTGCATTTGAAATTGTTTTCTAAAAGTTTTAGGAATTAGAAATACTGACATTCTAAATAAGGTGAGGGGTTAGGGTAACACCAGGCACATGAAAACCACTACAAAGCCAAGTGAACATGGGGCCTTAATGGATATCCACACGTGTCATGTAGCTAGTGTGCAGATGCCGCCCCATTGTCCTCAGCACGGCCCTGTCCATACAGTAGGCTAGCTACATGGGTCCATAACCCTAAAGAAGCTGGACTTGATCAATATGTCTAAAAACATTGAAATTCAGGGGTGATGAGGTGATTTCAGGGTCACTCAGAACAACTCTGAAATCTTCTCGCTGCCTTTTTGGTCATCCCTGATGTATGAAAAAATGAGGACAAGGAAACTAGAATTGGAAGGAGCAAAGCTCAGTAAGGCAGTAGGGGCTCTTACCACAGAGCAGCTGTCACCATTTCACACCCCTCCACCCCCCACACATACACATGAGCTCCAAGACAGAACCCCCAAACACACAGCAAAAACCCTTGCGTAGAGGCATTAAACAGTTAAGAGGAGAAAAAAAAGCTGAAGTGTGAGGTTTAACAAACTCACCTGTGGTATTTTGCCTTGAGTTAAGTTTCTGCTACTTGCAACCTTCGCAGAATGACCAAAAGAACACGCTCTGCAAACAAGGGCCCCAGTCTCGGAACAGGTTTCTCAGGACCTTCTCTCTACGAGAGCGAGAGCGAGCTAATTTGCAATGTCGCGGAGTGTTGTAGCAAAGCCCTGACAGGCTCCGCGGGACCCGTTTAGAAAGCTGCTCTCAAAATAATATTAAGATGAAAAAAAGGACAATTTGCTCAACCATAAAATGTGCTTTTTTTCTTCGAGTCCCTTGGAGAGGGCAATAGCGTGATACAGAAAGGATCAGGAGATAGACCCACTCAGCCAGGTGGTGAGGCACGCTCACTGAGGCACAGGAGACGCGAGCACAGGCACAGCGCCGTGTGAGCGAGCGCTCAAGGCTGGGAAGGTTTCCGGTAGTTAAGGGAGATACAGCAAGCCTAAATTTTTACCAACTTCCTTTCAATTTTCCCCATACCGTCTAACCTGAACCCTCTTCAATATTCATTGCCCAAGTTTGTTTACATTGGTTGAAGAATAAAACCTGATTAATTTAATAAACTTTTTACAAACTATAACAAGCATTTATTAACTATTTAGAAAAGACATTTCTATATATTTTGTATATCTATGAATACTGTACATCTGGTCTAAGCTAAAAATATTGTTTTGAGACATTCTTCTGTGATGCTTCCTTATTATGCTCAGTAATGTTTAAAATCTTGCAATTTCATTTTTAAGCTAAAATAGATATCAAAGAGGAATTTAACTTAAATGTTTACATTGAGTTTCTAAATACCCCAAATTAAGTGACCCATAGTAAATTAATGGCAATGCGGGGGGGGGGTGTAAAAGTTACTGGCATACTACATGGTAATATGTCTGTGTATTTAGTGAAATATTATGTATTGTAGCACAACTTTGTTGGGTATTAAGGCTTCTTCTTAGTAGTTCTGTGTTGCTCTTTGAAATAAAATTACCACCATAAAAATAATCTATCATATTGATGTGTTTAATTTGCTCAGTTGGCTTATAATATACAAAGTATCAAGATTAAGGTAGTATTTTTGTACTATTATTGGAAGCATGCCTTCCTTTTCACATTATTAAATTGTATTTATATTTGTGCAATTTTAAACTACATTTTCAAATAAACTTTGTGGCTTCAAGATCTTTTCAAAAACCTTTCAAAATGAGATTTGGGGGTCAGAATTACTTCAACCCAAATAGAATCCAATTTGTACTACTGGTTAAAAGGTCCTTTTATTCAATATCACTACACATAATTTTGCGTGAGTTAACTGGAAATCAGGAATGCATTTTTAGAGATAAAACAGAACTTTAAATTCTTCCTCTTTTGTTAATTTTTTAAGACTAAAATATCATTTAACCTAAAATTGGATTTTGTGATTTTTTTCAGAATAAAAGTGTTAAAATATATTTCAGTTTTAGGGTCTTTTTTTTCTTTTTTCTTTTTGGTTAGTCAATAAATATTTGAGCACCTACTATGTGCAGGTACTGTTCTAGTTCACCAAAGCGGTTAAGTAAATTAAATCAAACATGCCCTTGAAGAGCTTTGATTTCTGTAAGAGATCAAATACTGTAACAAAAGTCAATGTCATGTGCTACAAAGTGCTTGAAGAACAAGGCAAATAAGGCATTGTCTGTAGGTAGTCAGGGCATGTTTCTCTTAGGTGACATTTGGGCTAAGATTTGAACAACACAAAGAAGCTGGCCAAGTGGGGTTGGGGACAAGCATTCCTGGCAGAACAGCTAGTGCAAGATGCCAAGGCAGGAATGAGCTTGTACGTGTTCAGGGAGAAAGGACCTCAGGGTAGTGAAGGCTGGGAGCCGGGGAGACCACAGGGGGCCTTCTTAGATCCGGGAGATCAAGGGCAGACTCGCCCCCGAGCAGGAAGACACTGAATCAGAAATTTCTGAGTGTCTGAAACATTTGCTAAGAGTCCTTGGGCAGTCAGGTTGGTGATGGAGGCAACAGCAGGCTTGGATGAAGACTGATTACATCAGGAGACTGGAGCACCCCCCTTCTCCCTCTTCACTGCCCGCTCTCCTGATTTGAGGCAGCACTCGACCTTGGTGGAATTCCATTTTCTCCTGTGTAAAATCAAGCTGGGCATCTTTCTTCCCTGCTTCACTATTATTCTACATAAAGTAAAAAAATAGTGTGGCTCCTCTCCCAAGCCCTTGCATAATTCAAAAATTTTTATGTCTCCCACCCCCACTGGGAAAAGTCTGTGCCAGGCCGAGGAAATTTCTCTCAAGATCCAGAGCAGTACATTCTGCTTCCTACTCGACATCAAATAGAGGTCTAATAGGCATTTCAAACTCAACACGTCCCACTCCGGGCTCCTGATCACCTTTCCTACCATCCCCCAACCCCATCAAGCCTTCTCTACCTTAACTGATTGCAACTACCTCCTTTGGTTGCTCAGAACAAAAACTTTGAGGTCAGCCTTAGCTATTCTCATTCCCTCACATTCCTCATCCTACCCATCAGGAAATCCTACTGGCCTTACCTTCCAGCGTAGCCAGAATCTGACCAACCTTACTATATGTATACACCCACTGCTACCACCCCACCCGTCTGAGCCATCTTCCTCTCTCACCTTGCTCACCACAGTAGCTCCTGCCTCCATCCATCCTCGCCCTTCTATCATCTAATCTAAACAAAGAACAAACTTCCTGAAACTGGTCAGATCAGGCATTGCTCTGCATAGGTTCTTGCAATGGCTCTCCTTTAGCACGCAAAAGCCACGCCTTCCAACAGCCCCTCTGTCCTCCTCTCCCACGACTCTTCCCCCTCATTTCCTTCTTCAAACCCCCGGTCTCTGTTCGGCTGCTCTGACAAACCAGGTACATTCCCACAGGGGAGCCTCTGCTGCAGCTGGGCCCTCTGATGAGCATATCCTTCCCCCCGGACATCTGTTGGGACGATTCCTTCATTGCCTTCAAGTCTTGGTTCCAATCTCACCTGTCTTCCCTGAGTGTTCTATTTCGGACCACGATCTGAAGCTCCACACCCTGATCTATGTGGGTTTCTTTTTTCATAGCACTTAATATCTTTCAACATTATATATAATTTACTTATTTTTATTTAGTATCAGTCACTCCTTGCTAGATAATAAACTCAACGAGAGCAGAGATCCTTGTCTATTTTCTTTACCGATACATCTAAGAAAAATAATGCCTAGCACATAGTAGATGTTTAGTATTTATTGAATGATGAACCACACTATATAGATTAACAAAATAAAATGGCTTAAAGGAACTATCTCTAGAAAAATACTTTTGAAAAAAGTTAATGTTGATATAATTTTTTAAATGGTTTTAGAGGGACACAAAAGGTCAAAACCTCCATAGGGTCAAAATACTGATGTATATGGGTTAAAATGGTAATGTGAAGGAGCCCAGTAAAAATTATCCCGTGTCCACTAGACTGTCAGATGCTTTACACAACTCATCCCAAGGATCATCATGCCCACTGCACAGACAAGACAACAGAGTCTCAAGATGTGAAGTGCTTACCAAAGCACATAGCTAGTCTGTTGGGGACAGGATTTGAACTCACCTATATGCCTCTGTTCTCGCCATTATTCCACCCTGCCTCCCTGCGTCACCGACTCTCCCTCATAGATCTTTAAATAACTGTTTGTATGAAGATGAGAACAACTCACCATTTTCTTATCAAATTTCCCACCGAGTGAAGTTTGTTGTGACTCCATTTGAAAAGCAGGACAGTAAGTTCAAACAGAGCATATGCACGGGGCACCGTGGAACATGGCAAATGTGTGTGACAGTTCTGAGTCCCAGATAACCCCTCACCATCTCGGTCATTTCTCCTCTTACTCCCTCACCAAAACATACGGCACAATGCTATTGCTAGTCATTTTACTTGGCTTTTTAAACATATATTGGTTCAGCCCTGGCCAGTGTATCTCAGATGGTTGGAGCATCGTCCTGTGAACAGAAGGGTTCAATTCCCAGTCAGGGCACCTACCTAGGTTGTGGGTTCCATCCTCCCCAGTCGGGGTGCATATGGGAGGCAACCAATTGGTGTTTCTCATGTTGATTATTCTCTGTCTCTCCCCATCCCCCTCATCCCTTCCTCTCTAAAAGCAATGAAAAAATGTCCTTGGGTAAGGATTAAAATATATATATATATGTTCTCCTTAAAATTGTAAGCATTAAATAAACACGTTTTAGCATACCCAATATGGCAGGTAAAACAATGCCTCCCAAAGGTGTCCACCTCCTAATCCCTAAAACCTGAATGTGTTATCATACAAGCAAAACTTGTATGATGTTTTGCTTATCATACAAGTTTTGATATGCAGGTGAACACTGCAGGTGATTGAGGATCTTGAGATAAGATTATTCTGGACTCTCTGGGTGGGCCCAATGTAATCTTAAGCATCCTTGTAAGCCGGAGGCAGGAGAGCCAGTCAGCGATGTGACAATGGATGCAGACAAGGGACTGTTGGCAATGCTGTCAGGAAGCCATAAGCCAAGGAATGCAAGCAACTTCTTGCAGCTGCAAAAGGCAAGGAATAGACAGCTTCCCTGCTGACACCTTGATGTTAGCCCTGTAAGATCCATTTTCAGACTACCAAATGTATTGTGTTAAGTCACTCCCTTTGTGGTAACTTGTCACAGCAGCCATAGGGAATTTATTCATCCTGGAAACATGGTGTCACAGAAATGCTGAAATACCCTGACACAACCAGTGTCTATTCTGCTGGTCCCTGCATTAAGGTAGCCACCAGCAAAGTGAAAGGGAACCACAGAAAGGTCTCAATGGACTCCGATATTTCACTTGAGATCCAGTAGAGAAAGTCTAGGACACCAGACTTCTCCCTGCCTTGGCCCCTCCCTCCACAGGTGTCATCTGTCGTGGCTGATGTTCCGCTGCTGATGGGACTAGGCAGCCGTGGTACCCACACAAAGATACCCTGAAAGGAAATAAAATTAGTCCCTGTCTCATGTTACCTGTTCCACTGATGGATGAGAACCTACAAGGAGAAATGGTTTACTTGCCATTTTGCAAAAGAAAAAAAAATAATCATAAAGGGACCTCAGATTGTGAGAATAGCTTTTAATTTTAAAACAATTGAAGCAATAAATCATCCATCTCTCTTTCCATCCCAGGGAAATGCTCTCCCGAAACATTTGAAATATTTCAAACACCAACTGTGACTAGTGCAAAATCAAATAAATACAAACGCTTTCAGGAGCCAACATCGAAACCTGCTGGGCAGGAGGGCACAGGCGACAAGCCCAGCCTCTGCCAAGGCCAAGAGGAGCGGCGCGTCTGGAGCAGCAAGACTGACACGGTTCTCAACACACCGGCTCTAAACAGACTGACCACCACCTGGGGAGGGGAACCCCAAGAGAGTGTTGCCTGAAGTGAAACCCATACATCCGGCACCCTCATGGGGCTGACATCCTTGGCACCGGAGGTTGCTCGGAAAATAAGTCTCAAGTCAGCAGCTTCTAGGCAAAGCTGAAGGAAGAGAGTTTGGGCTCATTTGCTTTTGTCTTTTAATTGGGGTCTTATACATATTGTTTTTTATATAGGAAAATCTTCTGTTTTCTGGAAGGTATCCTGTGCCTCACAGTGCTCCCGACTCCAGCAAAAACACTTCTGTTGCTTCTTCTATCGAGATGCTTCAGAGAATTGCTGTCCACACCCAAGGCATCCTCCTGCCTGCCCCCACGTCTGCATCTAGATTAGCCCAATGAGAGTCGCGTGTCTAACGTTAAACATTTTGGTAGCCACATTAAAAAAAGATAAAAAGGAGTAAGTTTAATTTTCGTATCTTGTTTAATATATCTAAAATATTGTCATTTCAGCATGTAATCGCTATAAAATAGATAAAATATTTTCCATCCTTTTTTTTATTATTTTTTTGGTACCAAGGCTTCACAATCTGTTAGGACCAGCCAAATTTCAAGAGGCCATTAATTAGCCATGTGTGGCTACTGACTACTGTGTTGAGTAGCTCAGGTCTAGAGAATCTTAATATAAACTCTCAGGATGATTTACCAAGTAGGGAATCTCTGTGGCACGGCATAGGTGATCTTATACACCAACTTCTACAGCCTTATACAGACCCTTCTTTTGCAACCTAGGATTTCTGCCCTGGGGTGAAGGCCAGAACCAGACTTTATCCACTCCAATCCCTGGTCCCACAGATGAGATGATTCTGCCACCATGATCCTACAAGATGAAGACATCTTTCTGTGACAGACAACTGTCTCCATATCTGTTTGGGGAACATGGCTAGAACTGAATTAGAATAAGAAAATAATCTATAAATGTGACAGATTTGGCAGAAGGTGGTTCTGAGGTTTTTCAGAGCGGGAGGTACTTTAAATGGATTTTTTTCATTTTTGAGGGGGATGGTAACAAAGTACCTCACGAACTGGAAAGTGGCTAGTTTCAACAGTGGTGGGAAAATGGGAAAATTAGCAAAGAAAGTGGGAACAGAAGTCCAGGTGGGGGCATTTAGCGATACAGGACCTGAACTAGGGTGGACAAGCTGTAATGAACCGAAAGCGTAACATCTAATCTATGTGATCCATCACATCTCGCATGGCTGACCCCCATAGTAACCACGGGAAAAAAGACCAGAATGGACTGCTAGTACAAGAAGGGACTTCTGTCCGGGCTTGCCTGGTCTAACCCACTCATTTCAAAGAAAAAGTCCCAGAGAGGTGGAGTGGCTGGGCCCCATCAGACTCTGGGGCAGAGTCAGGCTGCAAAGCCAGGTGCGCCCACCACCACCTACAAGCGAAGCTCTGGGGAATCGATGCTGTTGGGAGTCCCAGAGCCCAGCTGCTCACACTAGACCTCCTGCAGCCCCAGGTGAGCACAGGGAGTGACAGGCACATCCTCTTGTTCGTGGGAGAAAACAGCTAAGTCAAAATATTGAAGCAATGTTGATGTAAAATGGCATTAAATACTTCCAATAGTCCTTTCTGTATACTTCTTTACCTTAAAAAAAAAATCCCAATTTGAACAAAACTGGATTTCTGATTAGTTAGTTATATGGGCATCTAGGTCAATTGACAAAATAAAAACTTTGATACATTGTATTTTCCAAAGACACATTCATTGGGATTTTACACAAATGGATATCAAAAGGTATTTACAGGAAAAGGGGCTCTCTTTCCCATGCACACCCACACGCAGTAAGAATTTCACGATGACACCGCCATGCCTCACGCAGACGGCTCCTGACTGGCTGATAATCCACTGACGAAATCCACACATTAGTCCAGTTTTCAGTTACAAATAATCTCATCTACATACGTGTGTAAAGTTAGGCGGTATGTTCCAGACATTTATTCCAGGGAAACCTGCCTTGTATATACTAAGGAATACATACAAATACATTTTTAAGCAAGAAAGAAACTCATTATTTGCTCCAGTTTTTCTCTAATTGTCCATCTGAGATAGAGAATAGCACATATACAAAACTTTGCCGTGTAGAAATAGCCCTTTGTTTTTTGAGGCAGGAAAAGAAGGCAGCCGTGTTACACTTTTTTACAAATCATTTAGGCATCAAAAGGGCTAAATTAATTTTTCTATTTAATTAAATATTGTATAGTCTATAATTTTCTATATTGATTTTATACCATTCATTATGCAAAGTTTTATTATAAAATTTTTATTTTGTTCAAAATACACCTGTTATCTTTGTCCACAGTTCAATCCAAATCCCCAATCACCTCCCCACATCCCCCCAAAAAGGCCTTTGCTTTGTAATAGCATTGAAAACTGGTCATTTTCGATGTGTGTTTGGAGTCATTATTCTAGGATACTCATTCTGCCCTAAGGACACTAGATTTTGTAAGGCTGCTTAGCATGGGGGTTTCTACAGGAACCAAGGACCCGTGTAAAGGGGTGGGCTGCTTTAGGACCTCCGAGTCGGCGTTCACATGTGACACCGGTGGGCAGAGTTTAGTAGACAATTACTGCACCATGAGCTCCCTCCTTACACCAATCTCATTTGTTCCCAAATTGAAGAAAACATTGGATGAGAAAAGGAAGGGAGCACACTCTACTAGGACCCACCAGGGCATACCACCTGCTACTCTTCAAAGGTTTGTCATATCGCATGTCACCATGTCTTTGAAGCACAGTTGGAAAAAGAGCAGGTGTCCCCATTCCATCGTGCAGACAATGCAAGTGAGGCACAGAGAGGCTGGCAGATGTGCCCAGCTAGGAGCAGCGGCCCGGGCTCCGGGCATGGCCCTGGGCTCCGGGCCCCGTGCTCACTGCTCTCCTGTGAGACAGGCCCCGTCTCAGCCAGACAATTCACAACTCACCAGGGCCTAACCCACTGCCTGTGCTGCATTTCACCCAACTGCTTCTATTTTATTGTCCTATAGTTTCTAGCAAGGTCCTTTTTACCACTCATATGCATGTTCAGCAGACAGCAACAAATCCTTCTACATTTGACTGAATAATCTGTAACAGAAACTCCAGAGAGACTGAATTCGGTACAGGGCAGTAGGAAAATTCTACAGCATTACCATTCCACGTTTTCATCACATTTGAAATTCTGATCTAATCCTAGGTTGCAACTAATACGCTGAAATACCAGATGGAAATGATGGCCTTTCATAACGGCATACCAAGTGTCTTTGCCTCTGAAACCCTTAAAGTGCCCAAGATCACATTGTTGGTGGCAGCAGACACCCAGTGAAGGCAAGGCAGCCAAGACAGGACACAGATGAGACTCTGCCCTCAGAAAATGTAGAAATCGAGGCAGGCAAAGAATTCGGGGACAAGAAAATTATAGACGAATTTGGGGCACTTAACATGATTCCAAGGAGTTGTCATGCCTTATAGGAAGAAGTGATCAGCTAAAAATACACATTATGCCTTAGGGGGAGAGCTGCTGGGAAACAGAATTCATCTACCTTTGGCCAAGAATACTGCTAGGATGCTGTGGGCATCTGGTGTGGTTACGCCACCAAATGTCACAAACCCAAGTGAATCCTTGACAGCACTCAAAGGGACACCTTAGTTCTTTTTATGCCAAAAATGTTAAGTGGGGAACTAATTTTTTAAACTGTTCCTGAGTTATAGTTTCTTTAAAATATTTACTTGCTCTGTTCCAGCTATGCTGAATGCCAACCGTTTTAGCCTTTAAAAACCAACCCGCCACAGATTTCCTCCTTGACCATAAAGGTCTCGACACTCCCGGTCTCATTCTCTCACACAGTCGCACAATTGTATTCTGAATCTCGAATTGATTAAATTAAAAATATTTCATTACAGATGCTCTAATCTACTATACATGGATAGGTCAGAAATTACTGTGTTGAATGAAAAAATTATGTCACAAACAAAGCCCAGCCCAGTTACTGATTTGGGATATGAAACCACAGTGGGCTTTTCATTTGTTGTGGGTGAGGCCACACCACTGACCTCCAAAGCAAAACAGAGGGCTGGTGGCACATTCCTGTCTTTGATGTGCTGGTGGCAGGTTCCCTTCCAGCAATAGGAATACTTTTCTTTTTTAACCATTCTCTCCTTGAACATTTATAAAAAGAAAAATTATCTACAGTAGTGTATCATCGCTAATAGAAATGTCTTCCCAGTCTTATTTCAGAAGGCGTCAAAGGATGTTCTTTAAATAAACTATAAATACCCCCGTGTATTCCTTCATGTGTGGCTGTCCCAACCTCCGTTTTTCCTTTTTTTTTTTTTTTTTTGGCAAATTAAAAAGGCGTATGGCTTGTTGCCGATCATACGTCTGAGGTCTAGCTCGGTATCCTGCGGTAAAAGTACATGTAGCCCAGGTCTTTAGGGGGCCGTTCTGAGGCGCAGACTCTGTGGTCATTGTAGATCACCCATCTGAAAATAAAAGGCAGAAGCATTTGAGGGATTTGAGTCAATTCCAGACAACTTTGCAGAAAAAAGTTACCATGCCACACTTAACAAGAATCAAGATGTTTTAAGATACCAAACTCAAGTGTGTTGTATAAAATGGAACAGAATGACAGTGGGAAATTACAGTTGTTTTTTTATTCTCAAGTTCAATCAAAAAGTAGTTACTAAAAGAGCTTCCTAACATTTCAAACACTTTGATCTCTTAATTCTTTTTGCAGAAATCCATAAATAACCTCAGAAATTGAATTAAAGAATTATGTACCACATTGTTTGTTTCAGGACTTGGTGAAAAACTAACTGAAAATCAGAAGTAAACAGTCATGCAGTGAGCTGTTATACAACTATTAAAGTGTCTCAAAGAATTATTTGGTAGCTTGAGAAAATAATCACAGTACAATCCAAAGTCAGAAAAAGCAGGCTACAAAACTATATGAATATATTAAGCTTTTTGAAAAGTTATAAATACAAATTTACATTTATATTTAAATATAAAGTATATTTATATATAGTATGTGCGTAGATAGACTTACACACTCTCTCCCAATGAAAACAATAAAGAGAAATACACCCAAATATAGACAATTATTACCACTAGGCCTCCAGATGACATTTTTATATGCTTTTATATTATACCAAAGTGATGAATTTTGTGGCTTTTGAATTATAATTAAACTATTTCTCTTAAGTATTTTTAAAAGAGCTATCAAATTTGATAATAAAAAGACTTCAGTATAAATCAAGTCCCTGTGCTAAACTATTTTATGAATTAAGCAAAGATAAGACTAAAAGATACACCAAAGAGGAACACAATCGAGGGTTGAGTGAGAACTGGCCACTCATGCAATTCGAGGCATGTGGTGAGAAGTCAGCATGCTATAGCAGAGGCCAAGGTCACATGCTTCCGCAGGGTTCATGTGGTCTGAGCACTGCCTCAAGCAGGAGTGCCGACCCACAGGCTGCTGGGTGGGGAGCTCCAGGAGGGGAAAAACAGCGGGGCCTATGGGGGTCTGGCCCCAGGGGAAGCTTCTGAAGATGGGTGCAGCTTACACCCACATCTGTCTCATTCCCAGCTCACCACACACCCAACAATTCTACTTAAGCAGCCAGGAAGCCTACTGCAAGGCTGCAACAAAGCTCAACACTGACTGCTCAGGGCTGCCGGATAAATCACAGGATACCCCATCAAACTGAGTAACAGGTAAGCAACAAATAATTTTTTAGTATAAGTATGTCCTGTGCAATATTTGAGACATAATTATACTAAAAAGTTACTCACTGTTTATCTGAGATTCAAATTTAATAGAGCATCTGGTTTTCTTTTGTTGGCTTAATCTGGCAATCCTATGGAGATTCCAAATATGACATACACTCTGCTGTAGCATGCATCTTTATTTGGGAAAGTTACCTTGATGTGCAACCATGATGGTAGAGGGTGGCTTTGAACACCAGCTCTGACACAGCCACTTCCTAGCTAAGACCAAGCTATTCAGCCTCCCTGAGCCTCAGTGTCTCAGGATATAAAATGGCCTTAAGAGTAAATCCTACAAGGCCACTATGAAAACCAAATAAAATAACAACACATGAGCACCTAGTACAGGGCCTAACACACAGGAGTCACTCAATAAAACAGACAACATTTACCTTCTGAAAAAGACTCACCTTCCTTCCTTTTTGATATGGCAAACGTAATGACCACTCATCGTGGATGTTCCCATGTGACTGATGAATGCAAACAGTTCGTACACTGCAGAAGAGGAGACAACTCAGTGACAAGGCAGCATTTCTAGAAACCAACAGCACTTCTGACCAGAATTTAAAGCCAGTAAGTGTGCAATCCAGCAACTGTTTAAATTGAAAGACAAAGTCTACTTACCTTGCTATACCAAGAACACACCCACTCAAAGTGACACCAAATTCAACCTTCCAATTCATAACAAAGCGGGACATAATCAACATAAAGCTGACAATAAATTCACATCTGGCAGGGTTTTAAAAATCCTGTAGCCTGATCTGGTGCAGCAAGTTCGTGGGTTTCCCAGGATAATCCTGGCTCTCTCACATTCAAGCAGCATACAGGCAGAGAGGCTGCTTCATCTCTCTGGGCTCACGTCTTCACAAAGATGAAAATCCACCCACTTCATGAGGGTGGATGAGGCTTCAATGAGCAATTCAGAATAAAATACCATACAAATAGTGTGGTAAGACAGCAGATAGCTGTCTGCTATATTCATGGAAAGAGACACTGCTTCAGAATATGCTCCTTGTGATTTCTGACTTGCTCATGATTATAAACTACATGAACCAAATTCAGGATCATGCTTTCTGAACAAGGAGATACACAGCCTCTTTGAGGGTCGTTTATTCTCTAACAAGTACCTCCTGCCATAAAGCACAGGACTCTGTATCAAATCCGTGCTGATTGAATGAATTTCAGCTCCTGCTGTCCTGGCCAAACCCAGACCAACACAACACTAAGTGGGCTCCATGGACAAGTACCAGTCTGCTCTGCAAACTTATAGATCACAGCAAAACAGGTACAGAAACTGACTGTTTACAAACTTTTATAATAATCTGAGAATAATATTCATGTCTGTTGAATTTAATAAGGAAAAACAGGCTTGACTATTTATTTTTCTAGTACTCAATATTGATTGCATGTTTTAAAGTACTGGTTCTAGACAGACCTTTTCCTTTTCCCCACCCTCTCCTACTCTCTCTCTGCTATTCAGCCACCCTCACCCCTTACTGAGCTGTGGTCCCCCTCCTCATCTTACACATCCTTCAGCCCATTAAACACTGCTGACCACTTCCTTCTTCCTCAGGCATGTGCCCCAGGTCACAACCCTCACTGGGTGGTCCAGCTGCCCCACTGGCTGCTCCTCATCTCCCTGGCCTTTCCATGTTGATGGCCTGGGGCTCGGACCTCAGACCTCTTTTTCCACTATCCTGACTGACCTCATCCAGTCTCATGGCATGAATGGAATTATTTTCTTAATTTCCAGAATGCTCATTGCCAATGTATGTTATACAACTAAATTTCGTATATTGATCTTGTTCCTAAACAAATTTGAGGAACCTGCTTATTAGTTCCAATAGTTTTTTAGTGCATTCCTTAGGATTTTCTACATACAAAATTGCTACCTGCAAATACAGATAGTTTTACTTCTTCCTGGTTAATCTGGATGCTCTTTACTCCTTTTCCTGGCCTCAATGCCCTGGCTGGAACCTCCTGTTGCAATGCTAAACAGAAGTGGCAAGAGTGGACATCCCGTCTTGTTCCTGATCCTAGGAGCAAAGCGTTCAATTTCTCACCAGTAAGTAGGACGTGACCTATAGACGCTTTTTGCCAAGTTGAGAGGAAGTTCCCTTTTGTTCCCAGTTTGCCAAACATTCTCTTCTCAGCCTTATTTGTCTCAGTCAGTGGTGGTGCCACTCTTCCAATATCTGAGGACAGAATCTTGACTTCTCTCACACTCTTTACACACAGCCAATCCATCAGCAATCCTGTCAGCATTTCCTTGCAAATATTCCCAGAATCCAACCACTTCTTACCACCTCCACTAGTAACCGCTGATCCAAGTGGCCATCACCTCTTGTCTGAATTTTAGAACAGCCTCCTAGCTGGAGTCCCTGCTTCCTTCCTTGCCCCCTCCCAACTATTCTCAGTAGGACTATCAGAGTGGTCCTCCACTCCCCTCCCCTTGAAAGGGGAGTCGACTTGGGTTATTACTGTCAGAAAACCCTCCAGGGGTGTTCTCTATCCCAGAGTAAAATCTGTTACGGTAGCCTGTGACGCCCCCCACAGCTCTTCGCACTCTCTCACTCACTCCACTCAGCTACTCCAGACCCCCGGCTGCTCCACAGACACACCCAGCACGCTCTGTCCCTCCAGTCTCTACACCTACTAGTCCCTCCCTCTGAAACTGCCCTTTCGGCTGTCACATGGCTCACCCCTCACATCCTCAAGGTCTTAGATCAAATGTCACGTCAGAGAGACCTTCCTGAGCCAACTTTCAAAAGAGCAACCCTCCCTTCTACTCCCACCCTGACCTCGCTTCACTGTTGTCCATACAGCATGAGGCAACACCCGCCACATCATGCAGTTACATGTGCATTTGTTACTGTCCATCCTCTTTTATCCCAGGCTAGAATACAGCTCCAGGATGACAACAAGTACATCAGTTTTGTTTACTGAAATATTCTAGGCACATGAGCAGTGCTTAGTATGCAGAAGGCACTCAGTAAGTATTTGTTGAATAAATACATGAGTGAAGGAAGGAATGACTCCCTTGTTTCCTTGTTGCTTATATCATCTCCTACTGTATGTATTTTTATAAACTACTACCAAAGTATAAATTGGAGTATACATTAGTAAAATAATGACTTAAAAGAGAAATGAATCAGAGGCAATTGCCCTTCAATAGCATTAACTAACTATTACATCAACTAATAACCAAAAATCTCCCAGATTTGAAAGCAGAAAGCAGGCAAAGACAGTCATGAATGACATCATCCTGCCTGGCACAAATCTTCTGAGGTAGCCATTAAAGGGCCCTACCCGCTCTACCTGTCCTTTCACACCCCCAGCACTAAGAACCCACCCACCCAGGTGAGCAAGAGGGTGTGGGCTCAGACCCGCTCATGTTTCTCAACACTGGCTGATTTTTAAAAATCTTTTTGAATCATTCTATATCAAATTCCAAATCTCCAGTTTAAGAAATACAATGCTGGTCTCCCCAAATGCAGCTGCTGTCTTAGAATTTTCATGAAATAAAGAAAGAGTATGAAAACTAACAAGCAAAATAGAACCAGAGGCACAGAAACAAGGAACAGACTGACAGTGACCAGAGGGGGAGAGGGAGGGGGAATGGTGCAAAGAAGGGCAAGGGACTAGACAAAGAACATGTACGAATGACCCATGGACATGGACAATGGTGTGGGGACTGACTGTGGGAGGGGGGGTGGGCTGGGTGGAGGAGGGCAAAGGGGGAAAAATTGAGACAACTGTAATAGAATAAAAAATATTTAATAAAAAGACTTTAAAAGAAAAATAAAAAAAGAAAGGACATGATACCCCTACTAAGCCTCACCACCCACACCAAGGAACTATCCTTCAGAACAATGACTTAAATAATTGATCAGAGTATTTAAATGGGCTCTTCCCACCATAAGCCAGGGTCACAGCAATGAAACACTGCTCAGACTCCAACATAGTTAATGGGTTGACAAACAGACACAAAGGTTAAATCTATATACCCCATACACCCAACATGTCATTAAGCCCCCAAAGGCATTTTTCCCCCTCTTTGGTTAAAACCAACTCACATGTAGACTCAGAATCATAAAAATAAATTAAAGAAAAAAAATTAGCAAAAATCTTAGTCCTAGAATTAAAATTAGCCATGTTTTCCAATACAAGCACCCACTCCATGCATTATTCAAGATCTCCTACTGGGAAAAAAATAGCATAAGAGAGAATCAGTCTCAACACATTTGCAAAAACTCAACAGGCAAAAAAAAAAAATCTTGGACTTCCGGCCAAGATGGAGGCGTAGGTAGATACATTGTGCCTCCTCGCACAACCAAAATAAGGACAACAAAAATTTAGAAACAAAAAAACAACCAGTACTTACTGAAACTTGAACTGTATAGAAGTCTAACAACCAAGGAGTCAAAGTAGACACATTTATCCAGACCAGTAGAAGGGGGTGGAGTCAGGTGGCTGGGTGGGATAGGTCATGGCCAAAAAGGCAGCGGTGAGACAGACCGCACAACCCAGGGCCCCAGCTTGGGGAAATAAAGCCTCAAATCACCAATTGAAAACACCTGTTGGAGTTGAGGTGCCCAGAGAGACTCCCAGCCTCACAAGAGAGTTTGTTAGAGAGACCCACAGGGTCCTAGAATGTACACAAGCCCACCCATCTGGGAACCAGCACCAGAAGGGCCCAGTTTGCTTATGGGAAGCGACAGAAGGGACTGAAATCCCAGAGAGAGAGAAGCAAGTGCCATTGTTCCCTCTTGGACCCCACCCCCACATACAACATCACGACCCAGCAACATGGGTTGCCCCGCCCTGATGAACACTTAAGGCTCCGCCCCTTACTATGTAATGGTCAGGACCAGACCCCCCCAAAAAAGTGGTCCAAACAAAAGAATAGATCAAAGCTCCAGAAAAAATACAACTAAGTGACAAAGAGATAGCCAATCTACCAGATGCACGGTTCAAAACACTGGTGATCAGGATGCTCACAGAATTGGTTGAATTTGGTCCCAAATTAGATGAAAAAAATGAAGGCTACGCTATATGAAATAAAGGAAAATGCACAGGGAACCAACAGTGATAGGAAGGAAACTGGGACTCCAATCAACAGTGTGGACCGGAAGGAAGAAAGAAACCAAACAGAAAAGAATGAAGAAACAGAATTCAAAAAAATGAGGAGAGGATTAGGAACCTCCAAGACATCTTTAAACGTTCCAACATCCAAATTATAGGGGTACCAGAAGGAGAAGAGGAAGAGCAACAAGTGGAAAAGTTATTTGAACAAATAATGAAGGAGAACTTCCCCAATCTGGCAAAGGAAATAGACTTCCAGGAAGTCGAGGAAGCTCAGACAGTCCCAAAGAAGTTGGACCCAAGGAGGAACACACCACAGCACATCATAATCACATTACCCAAGAATAAAATGAAGGAGAGAATCATAGAAGCAGCAAGAGATAAGGAGACAGTTATCTACAAAGGAGTTC